ACTCTTCCTACATGTGGGCCCTGCCTAGTCCTGGCAGCTTACACACAGACAGTGCCCCCCGCTCCCCCCAGAGCTGCCTTCTGTGCAAGGTCAGGTGGCCTTGGACATCCTGAGCCAGGGCTGCAGGCTCAGGGGGCTGCATTCCTGGCATCTCAATAGGCTATCTCTGCTTTCCAGAGGTGACAACCCAACAAAGCTCTGCCGAGGGCGCCCCCTGCTGCGGAGAGCACAATATTGCCTGGGGGACCTGGGAGGACAAACTTCCAACTGAGGGGCTAGACATTTTCAGATAAAATTCCAGGCCCCTCTCCCCAATCCAGGCCCAGCCTCCTGCTTGATCAACTGAGACGGCGGAGGCCAAAGCAGGTTGAGCTCCCGGGGTCACGGCCAGGTGAGTACCGAGCTGTTCCCGGTGGCGCCCAGGTGCCCCCGGGGCTCGGCACCAGGACCCAGAGCTGGTGGGGGAGGGGGGAACCACAGTGAGCCTAGACCGCATCCCAGGCCACCCCTTTCCCCAGGCCAGGGTCGCGCAAGACCCCACCCCCACTCTCCCAGCCAGCAGATTATGAAGATTTAGTCCCCGGGGCTGGGCATTGGGCACGCGCACCGCCAGAGCGTCCCCATGGCGACCGAGAGGCTCTAGCGCCCCAACCAATCGCTGGCCTCCCGGCTGCCCGGGGGCGGGGCCGGGCTGCCCATCAAGCAGCCGAGCCCGGGGCAGAGGGGGATGGGAAAGGCCGTGGTGAAGTGGCACCCCTCCCCCCCCTGGCTGCCGCAGGTCCCCTGGGCCAGGCTGCCCCTCCTTCTCCTCTTCCTCCGGGCAGCTCACTGCTCCCTTCATCCTCCTGCAGGTCAGCTCCAGGCTCTGCTCAAAGCCGCCCCACAGCTCCCTGCTTGCTGAACGACACCCCAGAGTCCCTGGACCTGCGTCCTTGCAACCTCCAGGACCTCACCACGCGTCCGCTGCCCCCCTCCTCCTCCATCACAGATGGGCCTGGTTTTCCTCCAGAAGGATCTCCAGCGACCAGCGCAGATGTTGGCGGAATGAACAAATTGCCCGGCAGTATTTACTGAGCACCTACTGCATGCCCGCACAGTCCCAGGCCGAGAAACAAAGTAACAATGACAACCAAGGTGCCAGCCCTCCTGGAGGGACAGATGCTCATTACCAAACCACAGGAAAGTGGCTGCCCTCCCTCCCTTCATCACACCCACCTCCACCCCACCCCTTTCCAGCACCAGCCTATTCTTGTTCCATAACCTTCCTGCTCTCCAAAGACCCCTGAAGACTATCCTCCAGACTCCCGCTGGGTGTGTTCTTAGTCCCCTGACTTCTGGAGTCCAGACCCCACCCTCCTGGCCACCGCGGGACCTCACATCTCCAGGCCTTTGCTTGGGCTCAGGCTCTGCTGTCTGCCTGCCATGTTGCTTCTAACTCAGAAAATTTCAGTCTACCTTCGAGGCCTGGCTCAATGCTTCCTCCTCAGGGCAGGCCTCCTCTTCCACTGTCCCTGGGAAGGAGTTACAGCCCAATGTCTGTCCTTCCTGGGGATACTTCGTGCCTCCTTTGCCTGGCCCAGGGTGAATTCTGACGGCTGCCTAGAAGCCCCCACATATGCAGGAGCCTCTTCTGGAGCTGAGGAGCTGGAAGGCAGGGATGGACCCCTATACTGACCGATCACGTGAACCCCTGTTTGCTCTGGCAGGTGCCCATTCTTAGCCCACCTTATAGGTGAGACTTCACACCCTGGCATCATTCCTAATAGGCCAGCTGCTTGACCTTGGAGGGCTTTGGCTTCCTCTTCTGGAAGGAGGGGTTGCTAGGAAGGCACCATGCTCTGCACACAGTGAGCCAACTGTCCCAATGCAGGGGTGTCAGGCCCACGGCCTCCTGCGGTGCCACACCCCTGGCACAGGCCCACGGGTGGCACCCCAACCACCTGCCTCTCTGACTAGGTTTCGTCGTGGGAGGACGGACCTCCCTTGCCCTACACCTATGGTGGAAGGGGGAAAGGAGATGCATGCCTACTCCCAGCCTCCCACAGCTCAGGAGCCCAGGGTGGCCCCAGGGCTGTGCATCCTTGCTGCTCGGCCAGACAGCCACAGGCACTGGCTCCGACCGCAACACAGCACCCTCTTCCCAGTACTCCGAGGCTGCTCTCTTCCAGTAAGGGAAGTGGCTGCGCAGGTGGGACCAGGAGGTGCCAGGAGTCCAGACCAGGCATCCTGAGTTTTTAGAAGAAACCGGAAATCTGCACCATTATGTAAATATCCAGATTTTAAAATGTTAATGACTGACTTACATTGTTTCCATTTTGAAAGACCTTGCCAAACCAAATGTGGTCTATCCATGCAATGGAATATTGTTCAGCCCTAAAGAGGAATGAAATACTGTCACACGCTACAACACGGATGAACTCCGAGAGCATTATGCTGAGTGAAAGAAGCCAGACACAACGGGACAAATACTGAATGAGTCCCCTTCCACCCAGTGTGTGGATTAGACACATGCATAGAGACAGAAAACGTGTCAGGGCCTGGAGGAGGCGGGACAGGGAGCTGCTGCTTAATGGATATAGTTTGGGGTGAGGAAAACTATATTTTGGAAATAACGGTGCTGGTTGCACAACACTGTCAATGTCCTTAATGCCGCTGAATTGTACGCTTAAAAATGGTTAAAACATAACATAAGATTTTTATGTTACACATATTTCACCACAAAAGTCCCCCCAAAACCAAAAGAACCCCAAAACCTTGAGCAGGCCAGCGGGCCCCAGTTCACAAGCTCTGTTCCCACCTCCTCCCGCCACAGGCCAAGGCCCTCCCACCTCCGCACCTCGCCCAGGGGCAGGGAAAGCCAGCCACACACACAGCCCACCTCGAGCGTGTGCTCCCCCGTCATCCTGCCGGGGCCACCCTCAACCCGTGTGCCGACCACCCGCAGCGCCACCCGCTCACGGACTGCCTCCCACTTGGGTCCGTTTTTTGCCAACTGGAGAGGCCGTGGGTTTTAGGCAGAATGCAGAGGGGCCGTGTCACCTTGAAGATGCCACTTTACCTCCTTGAGCCTCGGTTTCCTTTCCAAATGCGTCTCCTGTCAGTAAACCAGGATGCATGAGGTGTAGACAATACTGGCATAGAGAGTAGGCGCTAAAAAAGAAAAAGCTGGTTCTCTATGCCCCGCTGTCTTCCTTCATAACGCACCTGCTTCCTACACACAGGGGCTCCGGACGGCCCCGCCAGAGCCCGGGTGCGAAATCTGAGGTGGGCCAGGGAGGAGGAGGGGGAGGCCAGTGCCCGCAGGATGCTCTTCCCACCCTTGTCCCTTCCCTGCCTGAACACTTCCTGGTGTCAGGCCCATGAGGGGCACTGGGGACTCAGCAGTGAAAAGAGAGGGTGGTCGCTGTCCTGGCGACTCATACTCCAGTGAGCAAAAAACCAGACACAGGGCTCCAGAGGAGACTAGGCCCCAAAAAGACAGTCGTGAGCTTTCTGGCCCTTGAGCCCCGACGGCAGAGCCCTATCTCCAGAACTCCTCCCAAGGAGGGAGGGAAGGAGGGAAGGCTTTTTGTAAGAAGCAGCCCATGGAAGAAGCCTCACGGGAGGAGGCTGAGAAGGCCCTGGGACTAGGGAGAAGGCCCCTGACCCTGGTGGGGGCAAAGGTGCTGCTGGGGAGGGGGGTAAGTGTATCCATCCGTCAGCCCCCCC